TAATTTAAGGGTGGTCACCAAGCAGCTTCTGGTAAGTAATGGAGAGATGGCTCCATGGGTATGCCGTCAATTTATAAGTAGTCAGTTTAAGTATATTTTATTTCAAGACTGCTTGGTGTAAATACAAGCTAACATTAGCCATATTAGTGTGTTTAGCCAGAGAAGCTGGATACTAATCTAATGGATATTAATGTAATGTGTAACGTTACTTAAAATATCTAATGCTGCTTAAAGATATATGTAACATTTCTGCATTGAAATGTCTAAAAATGCTTGAGCTATATTATAATTTAGTTGAGTCTCAGATTATACCAAATCTTTTGCAGAGTATCATGGATAAAACTTAAATATTACCATCTCCATGAACACTTTCTGACATAGCAATGATGGATGTTTAAGAATGAAGACAATGCTACTACACAACTTCACTATGTCTCTGGTTATTGTTGTTTTTGGATGTGAGAGCCCCCTAGCAACAAAAAATTACATATAGTGTACATTTAAAGCATACAACTCATGAAATAATAGCCTATAACTGCTGTGTAAATAAAGGCCTGGCTACATAGCTATCCGTCAGGTTGATAAATCTAATTTTGAAATTAATAAACGTGCTCTCTATTTCGATTAGTATATTTTTGTTCCTGTTTCTATTTTTGTTCCAATCCCTCAGGTTGCTCTTTTATTTTGAAGCTACTGTATTAACTGTACTTCATGCCTGTTTAGCCATTTTATTACAAACACCATTCTGTTACTATTTTAGTGTTTAAAGGGATTTGGATTACTTTAAAAAAAAAGAAAAAGAATGCATACTATTATCAACATTATTTTGATAATTTAATCAAATAGAAACTTTTTGTATGACCTAGCAGAACCTTCTAATTCTTATAAAGAACCTTGAGGGTAATGAAAGAACCACTGTATTGTTGCTTTAAGGAAACTGCAATACATTTGCTATCAGTATTAATAATTAGAAGTTGTAATCTCATATTAAATGATCCCAGTAATGAGGATACTGATCCACTGAGTGAGTAAAAAGTGCACTCCTGTCCTGATAAACATGAACCCTTTTGCCCTGATATTGCGTTTTGCGGTCCAACAGCACAGTGCACGCAGTTGAAATTTATCCCCCGTGTGATGACACAAGAGGTCGTCCAAACCCTCCTGTATGTTTGCGCAGCTACCTGGTTTTGGAGTGGGGGAGTCAGTAAACAGGTAAAAAGGCTACAAATAGAATCTAGCCACTTAAGAATATAGTCTTGAGGGAGGGCAGCCTGTTCCCGGGTCTGCGTCAGCACTGACCTTTTTGCTGTTTGCTAAAGGGATTTGATTTCACCTCTAACTCTCTTGCTTTCCCTTTTTTTTTTCTCAACATGCACACTCAAAGCCATCTGAGGGGTATAAAATGGCAGTTTTGTGCATGAAGGAGAAGCTGTGGTAGTTCAGTCATGGGCCTAGTGATAGCACACAGACGATAAACTGATTCCAGCAAAGAAATGCTTGGCATTTTATAAGCGATGTGGTTGGAGGTTTTGCATCATGCCACCTCTTTAAGCAAGCATGCTTGTAAATATGCATGCATTTACATATACATTTCACAGGGAGGTCGGAGGTCAGAGGTCAGGACCAAATTTTTGAGCGACTTGCTGCAGGAAAGTTCAACAGTGCAGTGCAGTACAAGTCCTCAAGCCACTGAAATATGTATCTCTCCTGCTGCGAACCATTGCTAAAACCTATTTGCAGTCACCACCCCACTGTTTACAAACTATAAATATCCTTACCTGTGAGTTGGACATAGACCGAACATCTCTCTTTCTACTATTCATTGTCAGCTCAAAAATGTTTGGTCTTCATGAACCTGCAGTACCCTCTGCTGGCAGTACATGGGCAGACCTGATGGCCTGTCACTATCACTTGATGTCATTATGTGAAAAAGATTTAGAATTTCTTTAAAAATCTAAAGAGCTGGATCAGAACATCGTAACAACACTTGCACACAAAAAGTGAATGGTTAAAGTGAAGGAACTGACTGAATGCAGACCTAAGATTTTCTGAACCTCAGGTGTTTTTTGCCTTTTACCATAGAGCTGGTGGGAAATAAGAAGGAAAAACAACATGTACAGCTCCATTAGACACCACTTTTTAAACAAAGCTGAACAAATAGCAGTTTTCTTTTGTGGTATCCAGTGTGGTTTTTGTGGCTGGGAGATTATCTGATATCAGGCCAGCTGAACGAGGGGCATCTGCAGGTTAAACATGAGCCATGTTTGCTTTTACTCGTGTCCCAGTCCACTTCTGTTTATTAATGTCTATATTTCATTCTAACTATTACATGGTTCAGAAGTTTTGAAGTAGGCCTGGGGACGATTAGTTTTCAAAGACAAACATCGGGTCAAACATTTGGGCAGCCCATATTTTAAAGATGCAGGAGATTGTCTGCTACATTACAGTTTCCAACATCACTGCCTAATTGAGTTGAGTAAGTTTAGTCAGAAAATCATAACTGATCAGGATATAGTTTCATACCTCTGTCAAACAAATGGAGACATAGAAACAAACACTAATGAAAGTGTTTTGAGAAAGGTGGGAAAGTGTTCAGATCCAAAGTAAAGAAAGTGTCATGGATCAAGGAACGTTAACACTTTATCATCCATATGATTACTTAAAAATTACACAGACTCAAAAACACAAAAAATCAACTGTTTCCAAATTGGGGACACAGCCTTTGTCCCCAATTAGACAAACTGTACAAAGTCAACTGGTCTTTAGTCTGAAATGTGTCCCTGAAGGTAGGCCTAATGGCTCCGCAGCAACCGCGATTATCGGCGTCGGACGGCCGTCGGACAGTCAGGGAGGTCGGTGGCTCGAGTCGGTTCGGTGTGTCCCGTGCGTCGTAGTCGGCGTCGGCGCGGCCTTCATTTTGGCCGATTCGACATATAGCTGGTTTATTAGTCGTTCAATGCCTCCGTTCACATTGCTCGGCATTGCCTCGGGGGAATCCGGCCGCATCATAAGTGTCGTTCCAGATTTGTCTGTAAAACTGAAGTGGAACTTGGTGAGATGGACCTCGGAGGGCTGAGGGAGCGAGTGAACAACGATGGTACTCGAGGTGGAACACCCAATGATTGAGTTTTTACGTTTGCCGTATACCCGACGGTGCAATGAGTAGACTACGAGGGGAAGTGCGTTATTTTATCCCACGCTCCCCCCGCCCACTTTCCTCCGCGCTTCCAGTGGCCTTCCATACGACGTTGCTGTTACGTCATAGCAAGGGCTGAGGGTAAGTGAAAGGGGGTAGTGGACACTAATGAAGCAGCGTAGAATGCTCAATGACCAATTGATTGGTGGAGTGCTAGCCTTGACTAGCGAATCAGTGAGTTGCCGAGAAAACGGAAGTGCGATGGTAACAAGCCAGTGTCTTTGTTATTATTGCCATGTACTTTCCGTTCAGCGAGTAATCATAAATCCCTTCTTGACACTATCAACACTCTCTGAGAAATGACTGGGACAGCGTGCTCTGTGTTTATAGGTTCTAGATTGAGTCATTTCGGTTTAATTTTTTTTGGGCGACAAACAGATTAGCGCCGCCTGGTATGGGGAAAGTATTACGCTCGCGCATGCGCAGAGTAGGCTCATTTGGACGTCGGTTTGGTGTGTTCCAAAGGCTATTTTTTTTGACACGACTGAGGAGAATGGAGCCTACTGATCAGGTCGATGTTTTTGCCGACGGTCGCGTCGGGTTGGTGTGCAGAGGCCTTAAGTCAGACCCATACACACACAGAAAGTCATTCCTCTATGAGGTGTGTGAAGAGACCAAACAACAGTAAATATGCAGGAATGTGACATGGTGACGCTAGTTTAGAAGTACATGACAAACTGTGTACAAAATCTAAATTGATCTTTTAGTTAACTTTGAAAATAAAAATTATGGTAGGTCAGCAAAAGATTATTTGCTTGCTTGGTTGTCATCATCAAATAGGCCTAATTTTATCACCACTTTAGCCCCAAAGTAAAACTCTGAACCACAAAGACAGCATTTTAATAATGAAATTACTGTAGCATTTAGGGGAGGTTTAGCTGAACTATTGTAATTAAGCTAAGCTGCAATGATATAAAGTAAGATAAGCTAAGGTAGAATAACATAAACTAAGCTAAGGCTATGGTTTTGCTAAGCTCAAAGACTGTATGTCTATGTTCAAAGCTAAGAAAAGCTAGCTAAGCTTTGTGGCACATGAGGAGGGATATCACTGCTGTGGAATAAATAACATTACTCTTAAAGGTGACATATTGCTTCAGGCTAAGGATAACCACCTGCAACAGAAACAAGCTAAAACATTTCATGGAATAATAATGTTATAGTATTTTACACATTTGTTTGATTTTCCATTGTGTTAAGTGAAAAGAATTATGATGTGAAAACACAGTAAATATTAATAACAGACAAAAAGACATGTACAGAACTGGAATTTGCATAATTTGCAGTGTTGTAATTATTTTATGAAGAGTCAAAAGAACACTTCCTTAGTGAATATAACACTATTAATTGGTATTGGCTATTTTATTGTATTCTACACTATGTTATACCTGACAACTGAAATGGAGTTCACTACACCCCTGTACTGAGGTGTCCAACAGAAATGCTGTACAGAATAGTACTCAACTGATATATACACAATGTACACATGTACTCACTTTTTTTTTTACTTGCACTACTGTTACTTCTTTAGGAAAACCTTGCGACTGTCAATAAATCATTCACACAAACAGAAAACAATTCATGTGTCCATTGTTATTAGCTCATTCCTTTCTTCCTGTCAAGAATACAGAGGAAAGTTAGTCTCCAAGGCTTTCAAGGTGTTTCCTTTGCTCGCACAATGCGTGTGCACATGTGAGCATGTGCTGCCGCTGTATGCTGAAAATCAGCACTTCACTGCTACCCATAATGCACTGTGGGAAAGGTAACACCCATTTTGTTTACCTGATAGAAACCAGAGACAGAAACTCCCAGCCTGAAAAGAAGAGGGGGAAACAAAACCAAAGACAAAACAACAGTGTTTTTTGTAGTGAAAGTGGATTTTAAGGATACTCTGGATACTTATAGAGATACTTGAGGGTTTGTTTCCCGTCCTTTTGGCATTACAAAGGTGTGAGTGAGAGAAGTGGGACTGTCAGAGTAATGGGAGGAGCTGCAGGGTTCTCCATGTATGGACTCTCTTCATATGGTAAATAGAGGGTCACATGGGGCAATAGTCTTGGAGCAGTGGGGGGAAAAGGGAGGGAAAGGAACAAGGAGAGAGTGAAGACTACACACTACAGGACTTTGGCCTGCCTCACGTCTATGAGAGAGCACTTTCACCCTGACTTTAGAGGACACTGGATCACACAACAAAGAGAAAGGGAAGAAAAGAGTTGGAGTGCCATTTTGTGGTCAATCTGAATCCCCAGCTTTCCTCACTGAGGCCCTTTGTCTTCCACTTGACAGGATTTTTTTTCCCTTTCCCTGTGGGGGTGAAAGTTCAACAGTGAGTGCCTTCCTGGTTGTTGTCACTGGACACCTCTTCATACATTCTTCCGGACATTTGAAGAGCCAAGATGCCTACCTTCACTGTAGTGCCGGTGGAGGATGCGGAGGGTGGCAGCAACAATGCGGCTGCAGCTGAAGGCAGTAAACCGGTCAGTTTGCGCAAACTGTTTGTGGAGGAAGAGGATGAGAACTCCCAAGGAACCCACTCAGGTAGGGATACAGTGTAAGACAAAACCTATTCTTTTGCTTGTAGACGTGCTCATACACTCAGGGAGATCCAATTCCAATATCCTCTTAATCTTGTTTGGGATCCTATCCCAACATGCACTGGGTGAAGGACAGATGTTAAAATGTGTAAGTTTGATGAACTGTACAAATGAACATATACAAATGGAAGCATGCTGACTCAGTCAGATGCATGTTATGGCAAGCACAAAGCAGACGTATGTAGACACACACACAGCTTTTAAGTGTGACGTTGTTTGACTAGCTAGAACTTGCAAGGCAGCTTGAGTGGTGCGTTAGGAAGGTAGGACTGTGTTTTGTTGTTACCTAAGTCTGCTCACCTCTGATTGATGGTTGGGGTCTCTCTTTGGTTGTATGTCTGTATGTCTATTATAAAATACTATAAACAGAGAGCCAAAAACAGTGTAGAGAAGTAGTAGAGAAAAGGGTTTAAAGTTATCAGGTTAGCAAACTGTGAAACTGTGATTTTATACCTTTTAAGGCTGGTCATTTTACCTTCAGAAAGTATTGCCATAGAATCTACAGTACATAGTATCTAGAAAAAGCATATATTGCACACTGCCTTTGAATAATCTTCACAGAATGCATAGAGAATGTTGATTATACAGACCTTATAGATGCAATTTTTGCATCTATAAGATAAAATGTGGCCCCCTTTTGGGATTGTTGGCAGGCAGTAAAACAATAAAATGTCAAACCCACTATAGACCAGTCACACCATGAATGTTTTGGCATCAACAATCCTGCTGTCCTTAGATATTGATTCAGTGTTGTGTGACACAACATAACAAGGTAACGTTCCTTCAGCTCGACAGTTTCTCTCTGGAGGGTCTGACTGACTCTTGCCATCTTGCGTAGCCTTAAGCCTAGCGGCTAGCTCAAGGTTGATTGAAGTCAGTTCCTTCAGTCTTGTTTTTCAGGCCCTCTAACTCCTGACTGAGGGCACCCTGCTCTTCCCTCAGCCCCTGGATCAGCTGCTGATCCTCTCTCCCTCTTAGCGTGAGACTTTTGTCTCTGCCTCAAGTTGTTGGGGGTCTATTTGTTGCTGCAGCTCACTTTCCAGGTCTGCTCTTTATGGAGCTCCAGGTACAACAGGGACATGTTCTCTTTTGTCTCTTTTGTCTCTTTTCATCTCCAGCCTGGTAGAAAGCTCACTAACCTCCTCCTGACAGGTTGCTCTGCATCCTGGAGGTGAGCCTTCAACACCTCAACCTGGGTGCCTGAGCCTTGTTTACTGTCTGTCTTATTGTTGGCCTAAAGCGTCTTGTGATTTCCAAATCGGTAGCGGAGGTTCTTCCAAATTTTCCGGCATATGGCCTCCTCTTTTCTCTGTGTTCCTTCATTGAAGGATCGTACAGATGCCTGGCACCTTGCTCGGAAAGCTTCCTGTTTACCCAGGCCCTTTTGGGCGTTCGCTCAGCCTTGATTAAAAAAAAGAAGTGGGCCAGGGGAGATCTAACGTCAATTTTTTTGACGTCAGACTAGCTGTCTTGCACTGACAGGCTCGCGAACGGGCCGAGTATATACTGAGTGGCCTTAAGGCTGCTAGATTAGCAGTTTGATAGGGCCCGTAGTGCTCCGTATAATAGTCTGTCTCTGATTCAAACGCTTTGTTGTACTCTATCTAGTGGTCTGACTTGGACTCGTCGTCCCTGTTCAAAGTTTTCTATCTCTCAAAGTAGTTGTGTTTAAAGGATTCTGCCTGAGTTATTTTATTATTGATATTAATAAATAGCCTGGCGCTAAATTTGTAAACTTCAGAAAGCCTATGGGTTGGACAGATAATAGAACAAATTGGCCCCAGGGACACAGAGATGTAAAATGGCCTCCAAAGCCCTCCCCCTAATACAGACCACAAAAGGTTTTTTCCATTTTAGTCCAATTTGGTTTTTACCGTCTCAATTTTTCTGTCTCCTTTGCGGCGCCATTTGATTAACTGTCTACCAAGAAATGTTAAAGAAGTCAGCATACAGGTGGGCTTTAGTCCAGAACACCGCTGGGCCCTGTACTCACGGAAGACCTGTTTTCAATATAATCCCCCCTGTTCCAGCCGAATACTAACGAAGCCAACTCTAGCCTTATCACCGTATGATTCTGTTAACGAGGTGGCCAAATCAGATGTCAAGGGTGGCCATGGTTTTGGCCACGGGCCCTGGTGCGATGGCAAGATTCCAACAGGTTACTGGCATAGACCAGAGGCTAGTCAACTAGCAGTTTCTCTTTGTAAATCTTAAGCTCAGTGTTGTTTGTGACTGCAAATTCAAAAAAGCTGTTTGTCAAATATATGAATGACATTTTATGTGACAGCACAAGGTTTTTGAACCTACAATTGTTGGCTGCAATTTTGCCCTGCTGTATTCTGCACGGCATATATACTAACACTTTCCTATAAAACAACTTTTGCACTTTTGACTATCAACGGGTTAGCCGCGGTCATTTACATTGTAATTTATT